TTAGTATATGTATAAATATCATTATTTGTCGCCAAAGAGCAGGAAGTGTATAAATTACAGAAATTACATAAGACGCTAAAGGTGTAAAAAGTAGTAAAAAAGTGTGTGTGTGTAACCTACATTTTTTATGTGCGACTGGTGTCAGTAAACATATAATACCCATTGATATTTATTACAAAATTAAATTTGTTTGTCATGCTTTGTGTGTCTTGTCGTGACTTTACTTAAATTAACGACAAAACAAGCAAGACTATCCTTACTCATGTCTAACAGATCACGGAATTAACCTTACAAATAAGTTAATTGTATTATTTTTTTAATAAATCTCTTACAGACTGGATATCATGACGCACCAAAGTACTCACCAAGACAAAACAAATGAGCCCAAATTTGATGGGTTTATCTTGTTCAGTTAAGAATTTCTTATAGCCGTCTGGTGGCTCCATAACCAGAATAGCTCCATGGTACCATACAATATTATATTGTCACTGAAGATACACATGTAATTAGACAAAATTTAAGCTCAATCAGACATCGGGAACTGTTTCTAATTTAGCTTTTAAGATTCGTGCTGAACACAGATACATGCAAACATTGCAATTTAAATAAATGCTTTTAAGATCACTGTTTTGTGGTATGTCTTTCAGACCCTGTAGGTTAAGATCTGACTTGTGTAAATCAACCTGAAACTTAATATCGTAAGTATACTAAGTTGACCGTACATGATCTGCTTAACTAATGCGAGAGTTAACCCTTTCGCTCTGACTATTTAGATCTACGAACGATAACGACTCTGACACTTTCTCTCTAGGTATTCCTTTTACTAACAGATTAGTGTTGAGGCAGATTACAAAGTACCCACATTTGTATATTTATGGTAGGAAATGAATAACTGTCTCTTCCTATCCAAATGAGAACTTACATTTTATTCAATGTAGGCAAATAAACATCTACATTATCAAGACGAGCATTAGTAGTCACAAATATATTTTGCTACAAAGAAATTTATTCAATAAAGGAGATCGGCCCGTTTTGAATACTTCATTAAAACGTCTGTACAACAAAGCGTCACGCACGCTGCCGGAGAAAGTGAACAACTACACGGATAATGGACACTGACGAATTAAGAAGATCCTAACAAACAAAACACGAAACGCTATTACTTTACAAGATGTTATCATTATAACATTTTGTTAGCAGGAATTCATTACACTTTTTTAATATCACCTTTATGTCAATTTGAATTTTAAAATAGCTTTAGTAGGCTTCGAAATCACTAACTTTTAATGAATCTTGCATTTACTTACGTCTTTGCCCGCTTTAATGCTTGCGTTTTTGTGAATCAATCTACCTTTACACAAAATATCTTACGTCCAGATTCCTACGTCTATCTCTGTGCCAAATTTCATTCAGATCCGTTCACGTTTAAAATATTGATGGGATTTGAAAGGGTTTATTTTCTGTTGTTCGATGAAGAGCGTGCAAAAAAACTAAAATTTAGTTCACAAAGAACAGGCTGCAAAGACAAATAACATTCATTTTAACTTTTTTACTACCTCTAGTAAGTAGGGGCTTTTTAACCTTAAACAAGCAGCGAGATCTTAGAAGTGCTAAGTGATTAAATAACGGTATCTAATCTAACTCTATTTATAAATTGTATCTTGAAGGTCGTATAGAACTATAGAGAACCGGTAAAGTATAACGCTTATAACAGGAATGTTTTTTGCGAATGACTCGAGGGCATGGCGTGGTAAAAACCATAAACACTGAACGTTTACTTTTCAAAACTGGATCACGACGTTTTTTATGAGAATAACTGACATATGACTAACGGTGAAGCTGTTGCGTACATAAAGTATGTCACGGTTAATGTTGAAATGTGATATCTGATAACAAAGAAGGATTAAAATATCTTTTGTGAGGCTTACTTACTTTTGAAAAGTGTAAATACTTTTGTACTACTGTTGTAGTGACAGCAAAAACTAGATCAATGTCGTTAATATTATCTAAGGGCTATAAATAACTGGTACTCTTGTCCCTTGGGGGTGGCACTGACCACTAAGCAGTCAACATGAAATCCTGACTATCCAGCAATAACAACGATCTTAAGACTTGAATGATGGAACTCATTTGTAAATTCAATAAACCTAATATTTTTAATACCTGCCTTAGGGCATCTCATTATCGGGTTGCCCTGCCTCCCTCAAATGAAGGGGTTGCCCACACCTAACTTTATTAGACGCTTTGATACGTAATTCTGCTATGTATTATGTAGCTAACAAACTTTGCTACCTTCTCCGACAAGTATTCGAATTCAAGCTGACAGATTGTAATTTGTGAACGTTTCGGTTTTCTGTAAAATGAATTGTAATTATGAAGTATTGACGAATGGGACACATCATTCATTGGAGTCAACATTTCAACTGAGTTACTACTACAACTGCGTCAATATTGCTTCTAGGTGATATTTTTAAAGATTTAACAGGTGTTTAAATACTACCGTAGTATAAAGCCGGTTAGGTACAACACAAAATGTAATTGTTCATCTTTATTGCCATTTGTAAGCGTTGGTTATCTAGAAAATATTTCATGTACGAGTTGACCGATAAGAAGACACATAATGGATTTGCTTTTATGAGACGGTGATTTAATCATAGGAGTGGTAACTATAAACAATATACACGTATCATACAATCCTGTAAAATGTAGACAAGTATACGAATGAGATGAAGAAACTTGATGTTTACTCTTTTAACAACATCGTGATTAAACCATAGGGTCGGGATCGGGACACAGCTGGTGCTATAGAACTAGTAACAACTAATGCGATTTTTTTTGTTAGATTATCTTTTTATTTGATCTAAGCTAAGACCTAAAAAGTTGACGTAGTGATCTATGGCAACGTACATTACCTGTAGTAATTTTGGATATCTAATGACTAATGGGCTTTCAGTACTAATTAACAAATTGAAATAACTCTTTAGGTCGCCTCACTATCGAGGATGTTGTTATATGTAGAAATATCTATATATAAAAAAATCCTAGGAAGTAACTTTGTTCTTTATTGCACTGTGAGAAGAGAAGCAACAATCTTAGGTTTTGAATAAGCTTATGCATGCACCACGAAGTGAAAACGATGATTGCTGCTGCGAATCGGACAACGTTGATTGGTAAGTGCGTAATCACGAGGCAGCGCGAATCGACCGCGCGAGCACAAGAGAAACTCTGCATCTCTATTATAACACGAAAATATACCTAACAACGAAACCAAACCAATTTCACTTTCAACGAAATAAGTGTTGGACACCTCTTTACTATTAATAAAATAAAACTACAAAAGCATAAACAAATGATTTGTTGATTGGTGAATAAATTACTAGTTTTATGTAATTAATTAAAAGTGACGTTTTCATCGAATGCCGAACGCTTATCCATTTATTTAGAAAACTGGTTTCCTTTAGCTCAAGGTCGTGCAATTTTGATGAGCATTCTTGATCATCCGGTGATACTGGTCGGTCGAGGTCACGCTTGTATATTTATTTCAACGACATAATAATCAATGGCGACCCAACACCTTCTTTATCTGGTATTGATGAAAACGAAGTTTTGGTGTCTCCTTATCTTTGCTAATTTCGTTTAACTTAACTATCGATAGGCTGATGATGATAGGCATTTCTATCATGTCATGATGATATAGTTGATAAAATTGGTAGACACATCAGATAAACATTTCGAAGTATTACTTTATATTGTTTAAAAAGTAGCAATAAGATCTACTTTTCGTTAGTACGTTCTCTACGTCGACTACGACTCATGCGTCGAATTTTCTGTACATAAACTAAATAGCGTAAAATAGTCTCACGCTTTGTCACATGCGTGAGAATATCTTGCGCTTTATTACCGCCCAGGTTAGGCAGAGATGACGAGTCATACTTCCTGACACAACTTCATCATTCATTAGATCTTTCATATACAACTGCTGGTTAAGGGTACTTTAACTTGTATGAATTGCAGGACTTAGCTGCACTGACCCTTCCACTCATAGGTGCCCTATTTATTTTTTTTGGCATTCACTTTCCATTCATTACAGATGCCACTATAAAGATAACAGTTGTTTCTGAATTCTCTATAAAACTTCTTTCAACTTATGTTTATATATATATATTCTATTTTAATATTAGGTCCCTAATATTAAAAAGGAGAACATGTCATACACATCATACACCCCTAGATATCCTACTAAATATAATGGTAGCTTGTATTCATTAATACACTTTGTGTGGATAATTTAATTCCTCTCTAACTAACTAACTAACATTCATTTTCTAACTTCTATCATTGTCTACCATTGTCTGAATTTCAGTATTCATGTATTTTACAACAAATTTTGCTAAGTCATAAATAACTTCAATAAATAATATTATTAAACTTTCAGATATCATAATATGGTTGTGATTACAGTAGTTATTGCCCCAATGGGCACAGCCATATATTAAGAAAAAAAAACATCGTATTATTGATTTATTCGCAATTAATGATTGCAGTTTAAAGGTTTGAAACAGGATTATAAGCAAATTGGTATTAAATTGGATGTGCTCAAGTGGCCTTGGCTTTTAATACTTAATTAGATGTAATTAGATTGAGTAATGCTTAAGAGGCAAATCCAAGATGGTACACCTGAATCTCAAACAGTACAAACTACAGAGTTTCTTAATATTTTTGTTTGAGATGACCTATTTAGTCTTAAAGACGTATCTATTCTATAATAAGAGCAACAGGATTATTCTCACTGCCAGGAGCAAATCTATAACTCTGCATATATGATGTACGATATATGGAACATTGCAAAGCTAGACAACAAAGAGCAATAATAATATATTTCCCAAGAAACTTGTGTACATGTGAATATGTCAATTGCAGTTTGTAACTAGAATGTTGAAAAGTACCTTCATTATTATACTGTTTATATATGAGTATCTACAATTGGACCGTTGGCAAATTTACTGAGGACTTGGAATAATTAGGAGACATATAAGATACTCACCACTTCTAGGAGAGATTGGTACTGCAGGTTTTGGTGCAGAGTTGGAGCAGAGCCGTCCAATTTTTGTGGGTGGTTTCAAGCCAGATGGTTTTGGCAAAGATGTTGGTCTTGTGGAATCAGCTGGCTTAGTAATTGTGGAAGTTGAAGTGCTTGCAAGTGATGCATTTTCTGGAGTCGTAGGTGAGGGCGGTGCAGGGGTGACAGCCGACTCCGACGACAAGGTTTCTTGAGGTTCACTCATTTTGTTTCACTCATAAAACACTCAATACTGACACTTCCAAAAGTCTAGAAACATTTTATTCTGAAAATGTTTTTCTGTATATATAATAATTCGCGTCGCATCCTAAAAGAGTAATAAACTAAAAATACCGCGAGTTCCCGCGCAATAAGACGACACGTAATCTGGATCACGGCCAGTAAGTCGGAGTAAACGATGATAAACAAAAATATTTTCAATATTACAACCCTACTCGGTGCAAGATTTCGAATAATAATAAAATAATCCGTCTAAAAAATAATAAGACGAATTAACAATATTAAATCTAGTTTTACGTGTTAAATTACTTGTTCACGTTAGAGTGTGTAACTAAGCAAGCGTGTTTTCTATAAAAAAATATATAACGGCATACCTTGAAGAAATGGAGCACGAAAAGTGCTGCCTGATATGTAAAGAAAATCTCGCGAGATTTTTACCGCTCGACGGGACCAGCTGAGCTTGACCGTTGACGTTATCACTGCCACTACACACACATAATTTAATGGAAATGGAATGGAGTACTGGATTAAATGAGAGATGTAAAACACATATGTAAACAATAAATAAACTGCACAGACTGCATTAAATTTGGACAAGCTGCCACATATCAACAGAAAACAATTGCAGTAACGCATGCAATCATCACACTCAATCGTCCTCCCTTTGCATTCAAACTTCAAAGTTACGTTTTGTTCTTCATTTTCACGTTTTGATTTAATAAAACGTTTAAACTTGAGTAAGTTTGAAGAAAACCAAAAGTTTATTCAGTATTAATCGACCATACTATATTATGTCAAAGATAATAATACAGTGATTAGAGACCAGGTAATGCCTAAATAAATACCAACTTTTTTAATATAGGATTATGCTTTTATGGACTGTAACGATGATAATGAAAATGGCAGCTTAAACGGCGTTTCTTATGTTCTTATTTCATTGGCGTTTCCAGCCTTTCGTATCTTATTTTTGTTAATTCAGAGGCACTAATTTAGTACAAGTGAATCAACAATAAATCAACCTACAGCGAAATTATACTAGTGAATTCAGAAAGTTTAAAAATGTAGAAAAAATTTTTTTTTTACATATTTTCACCTATGTAACCCCTTAAATGTAAGCAAATTTATGGGGATTTTTTGTATACTGAAAGTTAGATATTATTTTAATTGTTATAATTGTTAGTGCATAACATAAGCCTGCGAGCATGATGTACAATGTCAATACTATTGACATTTATTTCGCGCTGTCAAATGTCAAACTAAAGTTCTCGTCATCGAGCGTGATACTAGACAGTTTCTGAATCAAAAAATATTTTTTATCATGATTGTGTTGAAATAAATAATGTTATCAACAGCATCATAAGATGAAGCTCGTCTTTAAAAATATTGAAAGAGATGGCTGCGGGTGAGTTTGTTTGTAAACTTTAATGTTTTGATCTAAGTTTTAGAACATCAGATACTTTGAAACAATTTCATATTTATGTATAATATGCATTTCTGAAGTCGTAAGCTCTTGGATTTACTTTCAAAAGTATACTTATTCAAAACAATATTATTTTGTTCAAGAAAAAGAAGTTAATGTCTATGTTTTATTTTTATTTTGCAGGAGTATTGCCCTTATCCCTGAGGAACCAGAGGATATGTGGCACGCTTACAATCTCATCGCGACTGGGGACGCTGTTACAGCTTCCACAGTTCGCAAAGTGCAAACAGAGTCCTCCACTGGATCTTCCACTAGTAGTAGAGTGAGAACAACACTCACAATTACTGTTGAAACTATTGATTTTGATACACAAGCATGTGCGCTGAGATTAAAGGGCCGGAATATTGTGGAGAATCAATATGTGAAGGTAATGCTAATAATCATGTTAATGAGAAATAATTAAATTGTTTAACACTTATTATTTTATTTATAGTGCTAATAGTGTTTGTTATATTTTATTAGGTTGTATGTTGTATGCTTTACATTCGTTTTTTGTTTACGTAGTTGTCCAATGATATAAAGATGATTCTTTGTTAATTACATTCGAAACGGTAATCAAATTTGTAAAAATAATGTTGTTATGAGTATGAATTTCATAAATATATATATCTTCAGTTTTATTGCAATATTATATCTGTCTTTTAAGCAAATAACTCAATACTAAATACTTTATGGAGATTTATTTTATAATAGCTAGTCTGTTGTTTTCATTTTCTGTCAGTTTTTTACAAAATAGTCAAATACAATTTACATGAAAACAACTTCATAATACAACATTTATTTTAAACTTTTAGTTCATTTGCCTGACAAACGTTTCAGATGGGTGCATACCACACACTAGACTTAGAGTTAAACAGAAAGTTCACAATGCGAAAGACACTGTGGGATTCAGTAGCTCTTGAAAGGGTTGACATGGCATGTGATCCTGCTGCTAATGCTGATGTTGCCGCAGTAGTAATGCAAGAGGGTTTGGCACATGTTTGCTTAATCACACCTTCTATGACATTAGTAAGGTCTAAGATTGATATTACGATTCCTAGGAAGCGAAAAGGTTTTGTACAGCAACATGAAAAGGTATGTCTCATATCCACATTTATCTTTCCTTCACAACTAATATTTAGGGAACCACGTGAACCATTCATGGGAAGGGAGGTCTTCAAAATACTATGCTTGGTCACAGGTGCAGGGAGGGTTTAGGTTTTTGTCACAGGGTCAATATTCTGTAGGGAAAATTGCACCTTTTAAAGTCACTGGCAACATATTTGCTATTGCTGGTGCACAACTGCACAGATGGTGCAATGGTTTAAGCGATCATATAGAAGCTTGCTACTGTACTGCGTGTTGTGGGTTTGATCCCCACATGAGACATCACTTTGTGTAATCCACAAATTGTTATTCTGCATCAGGGCCATCTTTGTATCTGTTACATGTGTTTTTGTAAAGTCCCCTGCAACACAGGATATGTACGTGGAGATGTCTTCTTAAAATAAAATAATAAATATGCCAGGATGTCAAAACATTGCAAACATGGTCATTAATTGGCCCGTAGTCAAGGCTGTCTATAAAAATATAAGATTATTAGAAAATTGAATATTCCAAATTCTAACTTAGTATTATACAATATGGAGTTAGGATTTGGAGTATTTCATTTTTGAATGCTCTTAAATCTTTTAAGACAACCTTGGCTTCAGGGTAATTTATGAACATGCCGTTAATTTTCTCAAAAGATCTCATATAGAGAACAACAGATGATTATGATTACAGGTGATAAATCATTAAAATTATGTAGTGATTGATAGCAAAAACATTGAAAATTTATAATTTAAGTTTTATTGTTAAAAAGTTACCTACAATTTAACACTGTTTCACATAATATATTTTTGTGGTTATTAGGTTAGTTTAGGTTACTTAGGTACTTTAGGTACTAAAGGTTGTAGCATACAGTAAGTAGATATGTATATTTGTTACACTAGCTGAGACCCGCGGTGTTACCCGCGTTTGTTGTTATAACCGCGGGCAACGCCGCGGGGCGAAGCTAGTCTAAAAAAAGTAGCCTAAGTTACTCCTTATGTTATCAGTTATCTGCCAGTGGCAGTCCCGTTGAAATTGGTCCAGCCGTTCCAGAGATTACCCGGAACAAACAGACAGACAAAAATTGTAAAAAATGTTATTTTGGCATATGTACCGTGTAAACATACATATGCATTTAGTAAAAAGCGGTTATTTTAATATTACAAACAGACACTCCAATTTTATTTATGTATAGAGTATAGATAACCTATAAATACTTCCTATGCGAATAAATACTCTTTATATACAAAAATAATTATTCAAATGTGATAAATAATTTTAGTGTTTTCATAATAATAATAATAATATTAATGTAATTTCATTCAAACAAAAATAGTCCTAAGCTTTATTACGTTAGTATAGATAGATAAGGATACTGTGATTGGTTTTCTATCCCCATTTACATTCATCGTTTGGTCCATCTGAGAAATATAAAATTCTCCAGGATAGTTTCAATGGAAGCAGCCAAAACCTTTTGAAATATCTCACATTGCGCCGAATCTAATTAAAATTATTTTCATATGAAAATGAAAGAAAAACTTGAAACAAACACTTTTTTTTTTTTTTTTAACGTGTGGAAATCCCCTCGGACCGTCACCCCACCGGGGTTTGCGGCGGGGTGGTGTGTCGGACTCGAACCGACTAAAACCACACGGTGTGCCCTCTTTGCGCTTCCAGTTTAGGAGGGGTCCAGGTAGTTATCGCCTTATGGACCCCTCCTAGCGCCGGCCCGCTCCTATTGCGGGCCCCGTCTCAAAATTTTCCTCTCTTTAGGCGACGTCCGGCACACGCGGACGCCGCCCCCTCGCGGCTGGCCAAACTAATGCGGGTGGAGGGGAAACCCACCCCGTCCACCCGCGGCCACACTCTAGGCGCAGGTAAGCGCGCCTCCGCCGCCCGGTTCGCCGGCGGCGGATCAGGTCCGAGTGGAGGTCGTCCTACCGGGCCTTCTCCGCCGCCTCCTTCTGCGAGATTACCTCCTCGCAGAAGGTTGCGACCGCGGTAAAACAACTGTCGCTACCGGCCATAGAGCGAATTACGGCCGGTAGCGAGAGATCTGCTCCGATGACTGCAGTGAGGGCCCGGCCCTATACCAACCTGTCTGGCCAGTGGGGTATAGTAGAGCAAAACCTCCTTAATAAGGAGAGGCCTAGCAGTGGGGTATTTTTGATAGTGATGATGATATGAAAATGATGACTAGAGCATATGTTACAACATTATGCTTTACATTTGGTTTCTTTACAGGGACTCAATAAATTCTATGAAGCGGTAATGCAAGGAATTTTGAGACATATTGACTTCAGCATTGTAAAATGTGTGATTCTCGCCTCACCCGGTTTTGTCAAAGATCAGTTTTATGACTATATGATGCAACAAGCAGTCAAAACTGATAACAAATTGCTCATTGAAAATAAAAGCAAATTCTTATTGGTCAAAGCTTCGTCTGGGTTCAAACATTCTCTAAAAGGTTAGGTTTTTTTATTTCTAAACATGGTAACACATCACAACATCAATTGAGATGCTCAAGATAAACAAGACAGTAGAAAAACGTTGCAGGCTTGATTACAGTTCAGTGCAAATGTTTTATGCATTGAATTGTCTACTAATACTGGCCTGGATAAATCTATGTATAAAATGCATGATGCATGCATGTGTCGTTGTTTGTCTTAAAACCAATATTATAAGCTAAACTTAGTTTGGTTTTGGATAAATATAATTTATTGTTATTAAAGAAATATCAGTCTGTTGAATGTTTTTTTTTCGATTTAGTAAATTTTAATCTATATGAAACTCATTTAAACAACAACTCATTTACCAATTCTTTTTTGCTATCAGATCTAGTTTGTTCTTATAATATTGTTGTTATTTTTACACCGTATTAGTAAGTTTTTGTTATAAATAATTTATCATAATATTCTACTTATCTTAAGTGTGACAATATTTATCACTTTTTATATCTCACATGATATAATTTTATATGTAAGTAATATATAGATAATTGATGTAATACATACACCAAATGTCTAAAACTTTAATGATATCTTTAAATTATATTATGATTGAGATAACATTTGTGCAGAACTATTTTATCCAAACTAAAGGCATGGGTACATCACAAAAAAAAAATGATAATAGTTGACAAAATGTAGGTCTTTAATACACCTTTGCATACCCAATAGAGATATAGGTAAGTACATGTACCTACATTATGTATGAAGTATGTTGAAAGATTTTGTTCTTTTATATCCAGCATCCATGTGGTGATGGATTAAGAATATGGAATGTCCACCACTATTCATCCCTTGGGTGTCGTAAGAGCCGACTAAGGTACCAAACTATGCAGGACAACAGGGTTGCAAAGAAAAGGAAAACTTTACACAAACCTTATACCAACCTATCTGGCTATGTAATACAGCAAGCAATGGATCTCTAGATGTTTAATAAATACTTTGGTATTTCAATATTAATAAAATTATCACCTCAAATATTTTTACAACATGTTTATTAATTACAGAAGTATTGCAAGAACAAGCAGTAATGGCCAAGATATCCGACACTAAGGCTGCCAGTGAGGTGAAGTTGTTGGAAAGCTTTTACACAATGTTGCAGCTGGAACCCGCCAAAGCGTTCTACGGCAAGAAACACGTGCAGCGCGCGAACGAAGCGCTTGCTATTGAAACTCTCATGATTTCTGATAAGTTGTTTAGGTAATTGTTTTTAAATTTAGTACTTAAACTTAGTACTGATTTAGAAAGAGATGAACTTAAACAAAGTTAGACCTTAATGATATATTATGTTGAAGATGAACTAGCACAAGTGAAGTGAACTGAAGTGCCTTTCTATAGCATAACTTGGGATTTTTCTCGAGGTGTGAAAATTCAAACAGAGTGAATTAATAGAATAGACTGCACAGATGGCGTAGTGGTTTAAGCGGTCACCTCGCCGCTTACTGCTTCGCTGAGTGTTGTGGGTTCGATCCCCACATAGGACAACACTTTGTGTAATCCACAAATTGTTGTCCTGAGTCTGGGTGTTCTTTGTATCCGTTTCATGTATGTTTGTAAAGTCCCCTGCGACACAGGATCATATTCCTAGTGCGGGCGTTGTCTTTTTACACTTTTCGAATGTACATTGTTATATAGTTTCTCATGAAACTTTTAACTCATTAAAATTAATTTCACCTTTTTCTTAATCATTCTTACTCCTCACCAGGTGTCTAGATATACAACAGAGGAAAGAATATGTAGCCATAGTTGATTCAGTGCGAGAAAATGGCGGCGAAGTAAGGATCTTTTCCAGCATGCATGTGTCTGGAGAACGTATGTATATTTCATAAACTGTGTCCGTTGAGTATTTTAAGTCTACTTTACTTTCGTTGACAAATTATCTTCTACTTGCTGTTAGTTAGACAAGATGAAGAAGGTTAAGTCTTGTTTCAATAAGGGTACAGCAGATTTTTGCAAATATCCACCTCTTGCACCAATAGTAGTTTGCTTTTAACGAGCACTACCTACTACCGTATTTATTTAGTGCTATGATATTTTTGCTGTTGTGTCGCTAGAACTCCATAAAGAGTCCACAACTCTGCGAGTGTTATGGGGCATTAGTGACGCTTGTCGCGCCGATATGGCTTTTGCTTTGATTTATAAACAACCACCACTTATCATGAGGCAATCTTTGTTTTCCTAACACTTTAATGGTATTAATAATGTTTTCTCCTTGTTCTTGACAAATAAAACTTTTTATAATAAATTTTATTTGATTACCAATATTTAAAGTGATAATATTTGCTTATAGAATTGGATCAATTGACTGGTATTGCCGCGATCCTGCGCTTCCCAATGCAAGAGCTCGAAGACAGTGATGCAGAAGGCGATGATAGCGATAATGATACTGATTAGGATGTTAATTATATTATTTATTGTTCTGAAGGTCCATTCTCGTAACAAAAATTCGTTCAAAATTCTGTTCCGATCTCACAAATGTCATAAAAGGATTCTCTTCGTTATGTATTTAACGTCCAACATTGACTGTTATGTCATTATATCATATTGTGAGCGAAAAATGAATCGGTATTCTGCTAGTTTTAGTAATACTTTAATACGAGTGTACCTTTTATTATATTCTTGAGATCGACTGTAGATAGGAACTGAATTTTGAGCGAATTTTATACGAGAATTGACCTTCTGTGGATGAACCACAGCCCTTATTAGACATTTTTATCTGCTCAAGCTAGCATTTTACATAGGAACAATTTACTTTATATCTACAGTTGTTTTCAAATATTTTTGGTACTCCCTATTAATGTTGTTGGTACTTGCTACCAGTGTTATAAGCCATATCTATGTACTGGTACCAAAGATATTGTTGCTTCAATGACTTTTATATTGTAATTATCTTGTTTCGTGGTTATTTAAAACATATCCTCATTTTTATTTGTAATGTAAAATTTATTAAATGAATTAGCACAATACATAAATAAAAAGGAAAATATTTTATAAACTGGTTTTATTTATTTTAAACAGAGGCTTCTAACGATTGCGCTTTTTGTTTGCGTTTTTCGTTCTTCTTGTTTTCTTTAACCTTTTCGTCGTGAAGACGCCTCTTCTTCCTCAATAACCATATTTCTTTTTTCCTCTGCTCCTGTCCAGCTTTCATGCTTTTGTAGAGATTTCTGTGCTTTTTCCGAACAAGTTTCTCTCTCAACCTGAAGGCCTGTTTGTCTTCAATTTCTTTTTGGTAGGGATGTTCCTTATGAGGCACTCCTGTTGTGACAGCCATGGCTTTTTTCTGGAGTAAAAAAATATAATACATACAGGGTATAATGCTAATGAAAACGAAATTTGTTTTGTGACTGTTCTAATTCAAATTTATAAAATAGCAATATTATATTTTGTACTCTACTGCTACATGTTTTATAAATATCTCTGAAAATTCTTGAAAAACTAACTACAGAGGTACTAACAGAGTGGTTGATTATTTAACAAATAGGTTTTAAGATTACAGGAGCCAAGGCTCATTAATGTGATGTCACTATACTTATTCCATTGTAGTAGACTCCAAGGCTTTATTGGCTTTATTAGCACATGTTGAGTGTGCTATGTTTAAATTGAAACAATTTTATCAAATACCATTTCTATTTGCTTACCTTTTCTTTTGCTATTTTCTTTTTCTCAGGATCTGCATTATCCTCATCCTCGTCAGAAGTTGAGTCTTCCTCCACTTCCTGTTGGTACTGTTTAGCTAAAGCTTCTTCAGCATCACTATCTTCAGAGTTTGGTTCATCTTCATCCTCTTTATCCTCATCGCTGGCTTCTTCTATATCACTGCCTGATTGGTCATCATCTGAGAAAGTGCAAACAATGATTTCAATTAATATAATCAGTACTTACTAAAACACTATTTGTATATTGTTCTCTGATACTGTAATGCTATAAATATTAAGTGAAATATAAATGCCAGCATTACAAATATGCACTCTATTACAGAAATGAGAAGTACTATTGAAGTTATCGTGAAAATTCTTTCAGAATATGGTGCAATAAATGGCAATGGATTTTGCTAGACTACAGTGTCTTCTTGTAAAGGGCATAACAATTGCATTGAGTGCAGAAGACACTATATATTTACATACTTTCCAAAGGGCCATATTTGTTTAATATATTTGGTATCAAATTTGTATGTTTTTTTTGTTTAAGACAACTTGCATTAGAAATATATCCTGTATATGCAGGGGACTTCACAAACGTACATGAAACAGACACAAAGCACCGTGACTTAAAACAACAATTTGTGGATCACACAAAGTGTCATCCCATGTGGGGATCAGACCCACAACACTCAGCGTAGTAGAAAGCGGCGTAGCGAACGCTTAAACCATTAAGCCATCCGTGCAGTCACATTCAAGATACTAATAGAGTAAAATTATTGTAAACTGCGTATGTGGAATAGTAAAATATTGTACTTACTAAGAGGTTTAAAGTTAGGATCGTTGAGTGCTCTCTCTTCAGGAGGAATATATACTTGATCTTTAGTTTTATCAACAAATGGTGACAGATGAGGAGGTAGTACAGCTCCCATTAAATACTTGTTAATTGGCAGTAGACTTCTTGCATTGACACTGTCAAACACCCACTGAGGTTGCACATAGTACCGAGATATATACTGCTTGTCCATAGTTGGCCTATCAACAATCTGGTAAGCAATGCTTTCATCTGTCTCATCAAATGTGGCACCAACAAAATGGTCTCTGTCCCATGATACTTCTCCTCCAAAGCAACGTATAATAAACACCAGTGGTTCTCTTGGAACTTCCCTGTTTATAAAGAATTTCAAGCCTTTGAACATAGTTTTGAGTTTCTTCACTTTTTCTGCTTCTTGTTTGGCTTCTTCTAATTTTTGAGGATCATCATCTTCTGTATTGAAGATATCCATCTCTGGTAACTCTTCAGCATCATTAGCACCTTCCAGTCTGGCTAAAGACAAGTTCATGGCTGCAATCCTCTCTGACACATATGCATGTTCATCTATAAGGTCTTTATCCGTGTCAGCTGAGAATGCTGATGTTAGTTTAGGTGGGTAAACCAAGTTCAGAGAGTGGTATAATTTGAAATTTACGAATCCCAGCATCATTGTATAGAATTCTACAAATGTTGACATGATCTTGAAGTCAACTTCATCTTTATTTTGTGGCTGAAAGCAATAGATGTATGCAATGTAGTTAAAAATTTATTATTTTCAGTTCTTTACTTGATAATAATGAAAATTGGCAAACTTAACAATGAGCACCTATGATAGGGTTTCATTTAATATAATTTTAATAGTGAAGTTCTAATAGTGCATAAGTCATTTGTTTACGGTTGCAACATACCAACACAACAGGTCTGTCACATGTACTCCGGCAACCATATGTCTAGTTTGACACGCTCCTCTACTTCAGCACGGCATATTCGATTTTGTTACCAACGCAATAGAATGGAGATAGTAAACCAAACGCTAATAAAATTGAATGTGTGTATGTCACACAATAGCTTGTGAAATTATAAAAATATCAATTCTTTGTAAACACTTTCAGTGCAGACAATTAATAAAAACAGTTCAAATTGATCAAAGCAGTGCTACAAAATTGCGCTCCACCTTTAGAGAAACAGTTATTTCACTCTCACCTAAAGAAGACACTTTTGACTTATGCACTGTTAGAACTTGACAGATAATTTATATTGAGTTACCTGAAATGAGAAATGATGTGGCACAATCCAGGTGATAGTTTGTCCTTCAAATTCAACCTGGTAATAATAACCTTTAACAGACACAAACACCTTCCGGAGAGCTTTGGCAGCTATGACTGCATGCATGAACTCCACTGTTAATCTTCTACAAAGCATTGATTGGTCTCTGGGAACTTTCTTTAAGGAAGGGAAGGTACTAAAGAGAAAACAAAGTGTGAGGCAGTCGTCTAAATCTCTCAAGGCATCCACAAAAGTGGGATATCTCTCCTTTACTATATGGTCAATATTTATCTCTGGATAATCACGTAAATACTTTTTCATAGATCTGTATTCTCTCATTGCCCGTGCACGTCGTATCTTTTGTTGATACACCTAAAAAAGAATGTTTAGAAGATCATTTTATGACTTAAAGGGTTTTTATGATTTGATGTAAAAAAAAGAACATCAGTTACTTACTTTTAACTCCCTTAGCTTCCATATTATCGGTTCGTGTAACAAAAATTTTATGTCCTTAGTGTGATATAAGGTCTTAATGCCCCCTACACCTTTTTGAGCCCTCTTGCGATTGCGTGGTTCTCTGGGATAGATACCTTTTAATATGCAAATACGTCGAAAGTCCTTCAAAGACAACTGTAACTTTTTTAAAGCAGCTTTCCTAGTCATAAACTGCGCTCCTTCCCCGGATGAATACTGCAATTGTGAAAAAACTTTGTTGGTTATCTGACAATTTATCATAAACACGTGTTTACATAGAAGTTGTTTTTGTGTATATTACCTTCTTCTTTTTCTTGGAAACCATGTTTCTGTTCTAGAATATGCTTGTTCTTCACAAGTTATACTTATCAGATAATACGATAAACTAAAACTTAAATTTACTTTTAGAGTTCTACACGCATGTAGCGTATTTAGACTAAAAGAAATGTCAACAAGAAAGTGTTGCCAAACTTGTCCTGGTCGGTATCGCCAAAAATGGTGCCAAATATATCCTTTTTTGGTAAGGTAAAGCTAAAATTAAATAAAAGTACAGTTTAAATATTTGTAATACTTACTATTTAAAGTATTAATATGAAAAAAGATTTTCTTAATGAGTCAAATTAGAAATTACTCATTAACGTTTAAGAATTGTTCAGGATCTAGAGATCCAAATATTCTGACTTTGAATAAGTTTTTCCCTTCCAAAGACTGACCTTTTTGTCACTGTTCTCTACTATTTGCCTATTAAGTCTCCTTTACATAGTTACATCTTACATCTAGTTAATATTATTTTTATATAAGTGTTAATAAAAATGAGGCCTTAATTGTAAGAATGTACAAAGGCGCACTAATATTTTGCCTGAAAGAGCTCAGATGGCAAAGTCTTTTCACATATTATTAAAACGACATGGTGAAAATCCATTTTCTTGGCAACACCGTAATAGAATTGAATTGACATTTTGTGCTGTGTTGACAAGTTTAAAAATAATTTGTTGTATTGGTTTATGAGGATTTTATGGACATAAAAATATTGAAGTTCAGTCTTTCCTAAAATTTTATTAAATTAAAAAATAAATATTTATCATTAGGTCATCATATATCTTATTTTAAGATTCAGAAACTTCCTCTTCTTTCGTACTTGGTGATGACGAGGGCGGCGAAGTTGTTGCGTTGCTATCTTGGTTTTGATACCATGAACCTGGATTTACCATTAGATACATAGGATAGGCATACGGTGAAGAACCCCACATTGGTGAAGCGTGGTGCGCCATGACGGAGTTGGCCGCATCGTCACTAAGTCCTGCATCCTTCAAAATAGTCATCGCATTAGAATAAGCAGACATCATTTGTGGATAAAAGAATTGAAAGGGAGATGGGAAAGGATAATGTGGAGCAGTTGAGCTTGGCTCGCATTTCGAAGCTGGGTTTTCTGGGTTAAAGGGTACCGGATATACATATGGATAGGATGACAAAGGATTATTTTCAGTAGACGAGACAGGTAATGCGTAGGCATATTGAATTTGGGGACTTGAGACTGGATTAGGCATCACGGCGCGCTTATGTGTTGAAGTTTCATCGTTATGTGTTGTAAATGGACAAGTTACAGGTAACGTAGTTGCTTGTGGTTGAGTAGCAGCTGCAATAGGCAGAAAATTGATGGGCTGGTCAACCATCCACTGAGACTTAACACCACTGTCTTCTGATGCTGCAACGAATAGGTCTCCTTTTGACCCATCACTGGAAGGCTTGACGTAGAGACTGTGAACAGGATTAAGATTTGTACTACTCCAGTATCCTGGATAGCTTGTAACAGATGTTACGATAACCGAAATAAAAATGACACTACTGATAGCCTGCATTATTAATTGTTGTCTAATAAAATGCAAATTAGATGAATGAATAATTTAGAGTTTAATGGTCCTTTTTATACTTATTTAATATTAAGAAAAAGATAAGGTTTAGAAATTAATCGTGTCTCTACGAATACTCTACATAAAGCACGTTCAGATGTATTTTTCTTTTACATTTGTTATCTACATAATTATAATACATATGATAAAGATTGTCCTGTGATGTTCTATCTTCAATGTAGATAATAAGTTAAACCCTTGGTAGCAATCAGACAATGAACAATTTACGATAACACAAGTAGCTAGTAGACTGTGGACTGAGAATTTCAGTTAGGTAACGAGGTAAATTCTTTGTCAACGTAAATATGACATACTTATAAAAGGCGATTTGTAAGCGCGATGCTAATGCCTGTTACATTCTGCAAATTGAACACAAACATTCTAGTTTGTATTCAATATGCATTGCAGTCTATTGTAATATTTTAACTCAGCAGACTTACACGCCGTCTACAACAGATATGTTCATATCGTAGTTTTTCGTACGCCAACAACCTCTATTTTCAGTACATAGCTGGACACTTTTTCAACTTTCCCCCCTTAAGAGATGGTTCTCCTTGCCTCTACAATCCATAGGCATGCACTTGTTTGTTGAACTAAGATCTATCTATCTATGAAAGTAGAACAAGTACCTACTTATCTAAATTCTTGCTGCTGTGAGCGAATAAAGCGACTTTCGAGGCATTTTATCAATCATTAAATATGATTAACTGTGTCTGTGATTGATCTGTACTTTAAATCGTAAATTGCGGTTTTTTGTCTTACTAATGGGTTCCTTGTAGTTTTGTTGTTTCACAGACAATATCTAATGTTTTTTTACCTGACTGCGCGAAGAGGGTTTGTTTTTGGAATGTATGTGTGTACATTTATTTGCCATGTTGGATTTTTGTGTTTCAAGTGTCGTTACAATCATTTCAATTGTCAGTGACACTGGGTACATGAAAATTATAAAAAAGGGCACCAAAATTCAAAAGTCATCGAGTATTGATTTTGGTACTCAAAATAAAGGGTTTCATAAATGATTTCATAAAATTTCATACACATAAGATTTAATTTCATATAAAAAAATAAAAATACCATATAATATATTTAAATGTAATTTGGAACGAGAAATGCTAAAACACAAACAATGTATCGTTAAGTTACAATTGTGTAATTATAATAATTAAATGTAATCGCAATCAAACGATTTTCATGCAATAATGTTTTTTTAAATTATTATTTTAACTTCTAGAATATTAGTACGCTGGTTCATACGTTACATGCTTTGTTATCCGCTCCAGCTATGCTAAATGCTTGTGTAAGGAGTGAGTTCACGACGGTAGTGCACTGGTTCGAACCCGCAACCTCTTGATCGCAAATGCGACGCCATTACGATGCCAATGCTTTAAAACATTTTGGTGCGTTCCGTTGGTTCCTTTAGTAAAGACTAATAATAAAAAAGATAAATCTGGATATATAGAAGCCTACCAAGACAATTAAACGATATTTACACAGAGTATTTTAATATAATCGTACACTATTTTTATAATACCAAGATGTCAAACAAGTGGATATACGGCTCGCCCAGTGATCCCGGTAACACTGTCACGTCACAGTCACGGGACTGTGCAACATTAAATTAGTGCCAATCGTAGCGGACGCAATACCAACTTCTTCTAGTATACTATACTCGTTTCGGGAATAATATTTCTCAGAAGTAAAATGTTATATGTTGGACACAAGATATAACTTTTAAACTTTAAAAGGATGTTTTGTAACTGATTTGTTTTTTTTTTATAATTTAAAAGGACAAACGAGCAGACGACCACCTGATGGTAAGTAACTATTGCTACCCATGGACACTTGCAACTCAAACTTTTGAATTCTTCCCCAGAATCAGGGGATGGAAAGGGTTTGAGCCCCGGTAACCTCATTAACTCGGTGAAAAACAACGAAAAATTTGCTCAGCTGTGAGGCCGTAGTATCACGCAGGTCGATGTGACCAATATGTGCCCAACCATGGCTCTCCCATGTATCCCATAGATTTTGTGTAGAAACGATGTCGATGGCATCGATGTACCCTTAGAGCGGTTTCGCACTACGTCCTATCCGAATCCGTGAAAATACGGTCCGAAGTAGTCGTAACACTATTTCTATGGTAGCTTACTCCCTAGATCCGACTTTCCTCATTCGATTTCTTTCCGTCATCCGTGAATCTCCATTCCGGATCAAAGTAGCCATAATATTATTTTTATGAACGTACCCAGAACTATTTACTTCTTCTGTGTCGTTCTTAAGGACAATAGCATTGACAGAAGTAGACATCGATAGAATAGGCTCATGACCAACGATCCCTGAATTGCTTGGATTAGGATCAGCAAAAGTGCTTAAACAATATACGAATTCAGTCAGTCGGGCAGCCTTCTAAATCCGTAATCACGGATTAGAAATCGGCGATAGTACGAAAAGTAATATCTGAATTCAGTCTGACATTTCTAGATCCGTATTTTCACGGATTCGGATCAGACGTAGTGCAAAACCGCTCTAAATGGTGCTATTTATGGAATATCATCTATTATCACGAATCTATAAGAAATAAAAACCTTCCTTTAAATTGTAAGATAATGTCAATCAATCATAATTATCTATACATATTCTCTTTAGACTGTAAAATGCAAATACCTTGGCATATCTTCCTATGAACCCATTGATCTAGTTGTATCCTTCGTGTTATTCGTTTTGTAATAACAAACATTCAAAGTCAAAACTCTCTTTATTTCATAAAATTTAAAAAATTTTTGAAATCGTCTTTTATGTAAACCCTAACTTATGTAGACTCATAGATCAACACACACAATAGCAACAATCTCCGTTTTGTCAAATAGTAAACAAATAAATTTAATAAAAATTAAACTTATACGAAATCTATGATATGCCTGTGCCGATCTACAACCGCCCGTTTCTAAGGGGTTGAGCCTTATGAGAAGAAAGGGCAAACAAACTCATGGCCACTCTTTTGCAATTCACAGATAGATACAATTGCATTATTAAATATACCACAACATTGTTTTGATGTGTGCCAGTATGTCCGTTATTAAGGACTAAAAGGAATAAAGACAATGAAGAGAAAACAAGATTGAGAAAAAATCGAATAAAAGAGAAAAGAAGTAAAACACAAAAAAAGAAAAAGAATAATAATAAAAAAAACACTAGCCCGCACTATATTTTTACTTAAGAAATAGCCTGCGCTAATTAATCCCCAGCATTTTTGTCTTCTTCCACAATTGAGTAACAGGTTCTCTGGCACAAGCCACGTTTTATTGCGGATTTAAATTTGTTAATAGTCTTGAATACTATTTGGGATTTTATTATAAAATCGGACACATTGACTTCGAAAAGACTTTTAATCTTTTACTAAACGCACTAAAAGTTTCTATTTCTATTTCTTTTATTTATAGAATGTACATCATCACTTCTTTTCAAAAAGTTATCTTTGTTTTTATGAACATATACATTATCATATATATATTGACTTGTCACTGTCATTATGTTTAATGATAAAGTGCTGGCATCGCTCTCTTTTGCAGTACAAAAATAGTTTGAATGTCGGCAGCATTCCCCAACAGTAGAATACCGTACGACATTATGCTATTAAAATAACTGAAGTAAACAAGTCGTGCTGAATCAACATCAGTTAACTCTCGAATTTTTCTTACTGCGTATGCTGCTGAGCTGATTCTTTAATGGATCTTAAGGCATCTAAAGAAAAATTTACTCTTATTATTTTATGTGTCTATGTTACGCTGTATGTTTATGCACCACGAAAAAGAGCCACAAACTCAGTAATTTATGTCTCTTTCTCGTGGTAAAAAAATAACTCCAGTTTAAAACTTTTTTTTCTTCTAAAAAAAACTTTTTTAAACTGTCTGAACTGATTATTTTATGTGTAAATTAGCTTAGTCTTGATATTTTCCTTGGAAACAAATAGGTACGTATATGTCAGATTAATCTGTCACCCACATTGAAAACTAAGATCTAGACACCTTGTCTGGCTCAAATATTGACAATGAGTATGACATCTGATCTTCTGCTATCAATTAGGATTATACTGGCTAGTAAATTTTATCTTGTAAATATTATCATTTATTATAATATAGTTTTTATTTTCAAATCCGATGAGATGTTTTTTATCAAGTCATTGAATTTGAGTTTTCCTCTTTAAGAATGTACCAAAGTCAGTCTTACGTATGACGTAGTAGATAGAAGAAAGTCATGATATTTGTCAACTAGACAATCTAGACATAAACCATCTTCTTATAACCTTTTTTTTTGTTTTCTTATGCAAAAAAAACATGTTCCGAAGAATATTTTAATCTATGATTCATATCCATAGAAGAAGAAGAGTACCAACTTTTTCATACAAACTTTAAGTATTTGTCGCCCAGCTCCTTTCAGTAATAGCTTGATAAAATGTTCGAAATGTGTTATACAAGACTACGGTAAACAGTTTCATTCAAATTCGTCGAGCGGCTTTTAAGATAGCCCATTGATTAGCCCATAATAGATTCACAGACAGATAGACAGACAAGAATTTCATAATTCATATTTTTTGGATCTATTACATCTACGAAGCTATTTTTTTCCATGTACGACAGCACCTCTCTTACAGTTTTATAATATGTATAGATAGTAATTGGTTTTTCTGATTTTCAGTCTTTCAGACGTCAGTTTACCCGGCCTTATTTTTGTTTTTAGAAAAAAAAATAGTCCATCTGATCTAAGAGTACCGATTGACAGTTCTGATAAATTAAAGTATAGCGATGGGGTCAAAGAAAGCGATTACTAAAATATCTGATTTTTAAGAGATTTCGATATCTTTTCTTAGTGTGTACTAATCGATTACAGTTTATTTATTTATTTATTTGGAAACTTAACAGCTATGTTACATATATCATGGGTGCAGTTAAACA